GACATTATTTGATAAGTATTTTTCTTCGATATTTTATACTCCATGTTGCGGTTTCTGGAACCCATAAACTGAATGTTTATATTTTGAGAGGCAACGCGGATTTCAGGAGTCGGATTTTTGGTATTTGACTGCATTAGATATGCATGGTGATTTAGCTAAATGAATGCAAATTTCTGGGAGGACTAGGTAGTACGAAGACAAACTTGCACCAAATAACAGAACAGCGCCAGAAATGTCATCATAATGTAGTACTGTACACACATGATGAGAAACTCAAGAACAGCAAGTAAGAGAACAAAATGCTTTTCATTACATTTACAAAATACATTGAGGTTAGAGAAGATGTTCAAAGTTGAAACCATGAGCTACAACTCATGCTTGTACAAATATATTTTGGAAAATTTTGGGTGTGTCTTCGGACTTCTGAAGTAGCTATATAGATGTATGCTACAAAGCCCTCATCATGTTCAAAAGGTATGTCATATACCAGCTTTTATAATCCCAGAAGAAATCAATGCATGTTAGTGTTGTGATCTTGCAGGAAATGCCCAATGTACAAACTACCATGCCCAATGTAGTGATGTCCGAATGCACTTTAAGTGATGACAAATGCATGAAAATGGCATTTCCAATCCTACACTGCCATATAATTTTGATTTTTCTTCGCGCAAAATGGTCTTTCTAGAAATTAGCAGATGCTTAGATGAAACCCTCTACACCTTTCATTTGATATACAAAGAAAATTTGCTTTAAAAAATAAAACACAGCAAAATTATTACAAACTAATTAGTTCATAAAATACAAGAAATTTTGGCTCTAATATAATTAATAAATAAAACATACATAATGGTTATGATGAAAACAAAATTACACAATATAATTTATTGCACTCAAAAATCAAAAATATAACAGTGTCTAATTTGTTAGCAAATTCATACATGAAATAAATTAAGCAAACATATGCAGTTTTTATTATGAACTATTTTCTATTTGATATTTTTACTTTCATTGAAAACAGCATGTCAAAGAAACCTAACTTGATTAAATTTTAAAAATATATATACATATGAACTGCTCTAATACTTGACCATTGCAAGTGAAATTTACAGTCCTAATTTTATTGGGACAAGGGGCAGAATTTAACATCTTATATCCTGATGATATTTAACTTGCATAAGTAACGTGGCTTTTATGTCATTTTACTGCTCACATTTTAAAAAGGAATATGTGAACAACTTAGATGCATACTACAAGTCAATTTAATGGATAGTTTCTCATTTTCAAATAAAATACGGAAAGGAAATTTCAGAAAAGAGAAGCAAAAGATAAGGCATTCAAAAAAATTCAAATGTCTATATTGCTGCTTACTTTTCCTACATTTTAGCAATTCCATATTTGAGAACCTTTTAACAATTGCATATGTGAACCAAGAACAGATTAAATATCTGTTATTGGTGTGTGGAAGAAATAATAGGACTATTAAATTAAATTAAAAACAGAAATTATTAAATAAAATAGGAAAAAAAATTATCTTCTGCCCTGAAGTGCATATAACCACTAATCTACCTTTATGCCCAGAAATCAACAAAAATGAGATAAGCTTTAGTTACTCTTAAAAGAAGACAACAGAACAATAAATATTGCTGCTTAGCTCTACCTATATTTCAGTCTGCACTTCAAGATTTGAATATTTGAGCTTTGAGCTGAAGCAAGAATAGATTAAATATCTGTCACTGATGTGGGGAAGAAAGAGGAGGCTTATTTTATTAATTTAAAATCTAAAAGTCATAAATAAAACAGGAGCAATTTCATCTTCTGCCTTGAAGTGCATATAAGAATCTACCTTCATGCCTCAAATTCAAGAAAAATGAGATAAGTTTTAATTGCTAAGAAAACAAACAGAGCACAGTAAAAAATTCGATAGCTATCTTCAACATATTTCTAAATCTTCGCTTAACATGCAATCAGCTCTTCAACCACCAAAGTGTGGCAGCTGAGTGATATTTCTATATACAAATAAAAGAAATTCATAGTTTTACCCAAGAAGTATTTTAGCTGAAAGTAATGAAAACAAGCCATTCTGTGCCAGAGCTTTGAAGTACATGGCTCACCTCACCTGAACATTTGGAGGCCACTTATCTTTAGGTGCAGAGTTTGTTTGATATATATATATATACATATTTTAATTAGGCTAAATTTGAGACCACATGAAACTTGTGGTTTCTCACAATTGTAACTTCTCCAAGCCCATAAATTCTCATGATAAATTATAGCAGGTTCTCCGGAAGATGCAAAATTTAAGGATATCTTACACACAGATCAGTGGCATGCCATGGTTTCTATCAAAGGGGGACTACGTATAAAGGAAAATTGTAATTCTCTTTAAAATGGCCCATACACAGACAATGGTGGTCATCTTACAGAGGTGACATTCAGCCCTAGTGTTTATTTATGCTCTCAGAAATACCTGTTGCTTCCAGAAGTGCTTGTTATAACAGGGTTTATAACATTGCAAAGACTATGAATACAATAATAATTAACATGCTTTGATAAATTTCTGAAAACTGGATCAAGTGGGGAGGTCAAAGTGATCATACCGTAATGAATAAATAAAATTTTAATCTGCTGGATGTCATAAAAAGAAACAATCAGTCAAAAATATTTCATCTCAAAAAGAGCATAAGGCCAACAAAACGATTTCTTATTTGCATATCATTAATTATTCTGAACTTATACAATATTTCACTTTGAGATGATTTGTATAATGTTCCCAATGTGTAACATATCTAACTTTGGCCATTATTTTTGTGTCTTTTAAAAATATATTGCCCCAAAATAAATGCTAGACAAGAGACTGAGACCATAGGGTTGTGACCCTGACAGTTGATAAATACTTAGTCATAAAACAGCTTCAGAGGTTGCTTGTGCATGCACCATAAGATCTCTTGTGCAAGAACTAGCTTTTCATACCACTTCCCTCTCCATAGTTTAATCCTCGAATTATTGCATCAATATACCACTTTGAATTCTTTCACTTAAACGTAAGTATGCATGCCTTCATGAAAGTAAACTTAAACATAGTGTTAAAAGTTAAAAAGTTAATTTCGTTTATATAATTACCGATAAAATTAAAATTTCTTGTTACCTATTGCCAGCAGTCAATAGCATGTTTATGGCAATTACGGGAATAGGTAAAAATCAGCTAGTCCTTCGATGCATTGAGCCAATGCAACTTCAGCTGCTCCTATTTGCACAAAAACCTGACTGCACACAAATAATGCACAGTTTCACAAGAGGTAAAATTATGTTCCTTTTAATGCTTTTAAATGTTAAATAAGAATGTAATTGTAAGCATTAATGCACAAAATGTCAAAGGATCAGCCTACTCCCACTGCTGGCACGCCACAGACACACATGCATATTTTCACTGAAAATTTCAGAAGTCTCATGAAATATATCAAACATTCACTTAATACTGCAAGCACAAGCATGGTAGGGAGATTACAAAGAAATTCCCATGCTAACATTTTACGTTACTGCTAGCAAAATTCAGATTAGAATTTGTTTGGAGTTAAGATAATGCAATATTTTTTTCTGCAGACATTAATTAGTAAAATAGCAAGTAGCTATTTTAATCAGTGTAACCTATAAAGGTACACAATTCAAGAAGCAGTAAAATGTTTTTTAACGCGAATATTTGTACAGAATAAAATTTCCAGAAAATGAGTTAATTTTACGAAAATGCATTTCCTTGGTGGGAAAGGATAGAATTGAATTTTTTTCATTTTACTGCAGGATTATTGAAAATATATACTTTAATTTGGAGAAATTCTAGGATAGTGTTTTGAGTATCATTACTGATGTTAAGTTCTAATTTTTTCCTGTTTAATTAACATATTCAAGTGTTTTTTTTTTAAATTATACTTTTAAAAGTGAAAAATTTAATATTACATGCAATTGTAAAAATAGATAACTAAATAAGATAGTTGCTGTTTTCCATCACGCATATTTCTAATTATAAGCATCACAACAGAGCTACAAAGCATATAGAAACAAAATATTACATACCTTTGCAAATCCAGATCTTAATGAAGGATTATAAAGACAAAAGATAATACAAAATTTTAAAGCATTTTAGAAGCTAAAATTAAATAAAAACTTCTGAACTGTATTTTATATATACCAGGATGAAGCAATACAAATGATGCAAGATTCTGAACCCAAGTCTTATAACAAATTTATTCAGAGTATAATTTGCCACCACCACTGTCATTAAGTTATGAGACCATGTACGTATAAAGAAGATATTATTTCACAGAACAGATATTATGCAGATGAACAAACCACACAACAAAAAATTTACGAGAGAAATTCAAATTAATTACATCTATAAAATTAAGACAAACATGAAATTTAATTTTGATATAACAAAGAGCCATTTAAATTTGAAACACCAACTATGCAAAAATATGGAATTTAAATCCATTATCACATACTAGTAAACACACCACCAGTAAACATTTAGTAGTAGTAGTAGTATCACATTACCAGTAAACATATGTCACTTGTTTTAGACAAACAGTTGGAAAATTGTGAAAACAAAGTAATATTTCATTGTATTTTAAAACACAACAAATGTAGCAAACACTTCTAAAAATTTAGAAGTCTTATAAAAAAAAACTCAAGCGAAAACTCATATGACGTAAAATATAAATAATATATATATGAAAGGAAACTGATGTTGAATGTGGTACAGATTTTCAAACTTGTAAGAATGGTTCTGATTTTTCTTCAAGTTATAAGCAAATAATTTCTTTTGCAAGTTGTTCACATCAATTTTCCAGTTAGTAATTAAAAAAATATTGTAAAAACTAACCTTGCAAATCCTTTTTCTGTTTGATTCGTAAAACACTCATCTGATTTCATTTCATTCATTAGCAACTTGTTTGGGTGAATGTACTATTTTAAACTGAATTACAGTACAAAGAAAAAACAATTACCGATTTGATAGAGCCAGCTGGTAAACCAAATGTCCTTACACATTTCTTTTGATTGTCAGAAACGCTATCTGCTGAAACATCTTTCTTGAACATTTTAGTGTCTGTCAGCAAGCGCCTTGTTTCTTCTAGCTCTTTGTGCTCTTTATCAAACAAACGCTTCAGATGATCAACATATAACACCAAAACTTCAAAAGCACGGCTAACACGTTCCTCCTAAATGCAAAAATGTGCACTCCCATTTTAGAAATTTAAATATAACTGAATAATATATCATGGTGTAAGAAGAAAGATGGTAAGAATTTTAGAAGGTGGTAGAATATGGGAAAAGTAACAGTTCTTGTAATACAATATATAATGGAATGTAGAAAGACAGCAGGCATGAAAAACATGAAAAGTCATTTAATAATGGTTAATTACAAGAAATAATGTTTGATACTTAAAAGATGTGTTCAAATGAATGATTGTCAGCTACAATGCATGGATCATGATAATAATGAAGTAGATGAAATAGTAGCGTCTTGCCCTAGCATGGTTTATGCTCCACGTATGTGCAATAAACATATTTTCAGCATGTTAAACTTCATTGTTTGGCCAAAGAACATCTATGTATGTTTAAGGTTGGCAATGAATTCACAATTCAGACTTCAGCGATGCGTAAGTGAAGTGCTGCGGAATGTGTGAAATTTGTTCACTTTGTGCCCAGTTATGCGAGCAATTATATACTGGGGACTTAAAAAAGAGCATGGGGTAAGATTTGTGCTCAAATATGCAAGAATTTATTTACTAGGAACTTAAAAAAGCATATGAGGAAATAGACTTTATTCTTTTTTAACTTGTGTTGTTTATGAGCTGTTTAAATTAATGCTGCAGGTTTTTGTAATGTGCAATAATCAATTAACCGTATTTTACATTTAATTCCAAACGTATTTTTGTTTGATATTACATCTTATATTTACTGTTATCATAAAATTTCCTTTCAAATTCATGCCTTCCACAAAGGCATGACTCATCCTATGCAAATAATTCTTAAGAGCTTAACATAATCAATTGATTTAACCTCATTTTACAAATTTGTTTTTTATTTCATATTTACAGTTATCATAAAAGCTCATCTTTTAACAGGCATTCAGCAAAATAACATACTCTGGTTCTTTCTTTTCGTATTCTTGATTACATTATAGTGGTAATCCAAAAGGTAATCAAAAATAGGTCTTCGAACATTCCAAACATACAAAATTATCTTTCATACTAATCATGCTAAATATAGTAAGAAATCAGTAGCAGCTTAACTTCTTCAAAGCTTCAAGCTTCTTATCAGGCTTAACTTCTGCAACATGACGAAATTTAGTGGAATAACATGTCTTTAGTTGCCAATCTCATGATGCATCACCAATTCTGTATAACGGATGCCAGCCAATAACGCCAACGAAACTTATCATTGCGCATGCGTGAAGCATAAACCATGCTAGGGCTAGATGCTACTAACTGAAATTTGACTGTGTTATGCAAATCACTCCACCTTCTTGCAGCACACCACTTGGTTTATAATCACACATTGTATTACAAAAACTCTTACTTTTGCCATGTTCTATTACTTCTTAAAGTTATGACCATTTAAGCTCATAAACATTATTAGACATTACATGTGCACATTAAAAGTAACTTAATAAAATAAATAGCAATATTTCTCACTTGAAATCACATCACACCAGTGACAAAATGCATTACATACCGCAACAACCAATCGCCTGAGCATACAGAGGAATTTTGCTTTCAAACCCATCAAACATTTTCATCTTTCTATGCTGTCACTCACATAAGCATTTGATTATAAATAAGTGCAAATCAAGTACCATTAATTGGAACTTGAATGATAGCTTTTACCATATTTCCTGGCATACTTTCTTTTACTCTAAAAGGATACTTCCTTTTTTTTACTCGAAAACATACTTTTTCTCCCAAAACAGTGGATGTTAAAAGTGCTAAGACTGTAATGGTAAAGACTTCTGATAATGAGAATATGTGCTATACTGCTGTTTTTGCATGTGTGCTGATGGATTAAAACTCCTTTGGTAATCATTAAACAACAAAACACTGCCTAAATGCACAATATCACATGGAATTTATATTCATGATCATCCAAAGGATGCATGGAGAGCATATCAAGCTGTGGTTACAAAAGGTGTGGTACAGGCATCCAGGAGGACTTCAAAAGAAATAGCCTTCATTAGTGTGCGATCACTTTAAGGCTCATATAATAGAACCAGCAAAACTCCTTGCTACTGAGCTGAAGATGCATCTTGCTATGATTCTTGGTGTATTCTCTTATCACTTCCTCTGGATGACCCAGGTGAATTTAATCACAAGATCTGAGCTTTCACATTTCATGCTATCACAGGGTAATATAATGATGTCAATTTTCTAATTTGTAATTAAATCATAACATGATGAGGGAATTAGTGGAAAAATTTCTTCAGCAAGTTCTGAATCTTTTGTTGATAAATGACCCAATCTCTAGGAGTTGGTTGGTTGGTGACAGAGGACAGGGACGCCTGATGTCTAACAGAGGTAAACAGGCAAACTGGAATGAGGCGTTAACTCATGACAGGATGAATGAAACTGCTGTTAATTTCTAGTGTTTGTGGATGGGTTAAAAAGGGTCCTGGCAGAAAGTTAAAAGTGAGACTATCATAAAAGTCTTTTAAAAGCAGTAGAATTAGCATTATGCTAAATGAATGTGAAGATGACATTGTGCATGACGAAACTAACAAATCCAGTGACAGTGAGAGTCAAAGAGAAAATAAATGTACATACGATTTTAGCAGCAGAAATCATGAATTTATGGGATTCTTCAGTGAATAAACGCTGATATATTTGCTAATTTTTTAATGTAACAGTTCCGTTTCCATTGTATAAAGTGTTATCATCAAGATAGGTACTTTGATCCTTTCTGTCCAATCCAAGCACTTTTCTTACATTTTCACAGTGCACCTTATGCATTGGTACATCTTATAGGCTGGGAAATATGGCAATTATGAGCAAAAGATATATTTAACAAACCATTATGATATGCCTGTGTGACTTAATAGTTACTATAATTAATTTAAAAATAGTAATATGATATGATCTTATCATTTCCCAGATTTCCAGTTTTGATTCAGTGCGTTTGTTAGTTATGCTACTGCAGAAACAATGCAATTTATTGCATTTGCAGCATATCCAGATTATTCATGTGTATTTGTTCAAATGACTACATGTCTAACAGGACAGATGGCTTCATTCAGAATTTTCAAACAGGAACTGGATAATATTCGTGTTACATGAAGGGAAAACTATGAAACCACATGTGCAGTGGCCCAAATTCAAATCAAAATTGAGCTACTAGGTGGACTTGTCTGTTCATTTTCTGCTGAGCCAGATTATTTATGCTAAAAAACATTTTCAGCTTTAGTTTCTCATGTTGAGCAACAATTTATTTTCATATTTGGTCTAAGAGGAAAATCATTTATTTTTCATGTTAAGATGAAGATAGTTATACACTGTAGCCAAACATAATTCTATATAACCTGAGAATAAGAAAATATAATACTGTTTACATTTCATTTAACATAAATACAAATAAATTAATCAAATAATGGAATTCCACCAAGTAGCTAACAGAGCAAGATTTAAGAACATGTAAGTTAGAGAAATACATGCTGTTTTACCTTTCTGGTTTATAAAATGAATTTATTGACAGTACATGAGTTGTAGGAATAAAATTGAACAATTTCAGCAGGATGTATACCTCATTGAAGAGACATTATGAAACACAAAGAACATAAAATCTTGTTTTGGACATCAGTATAGAACGGTGAATATTTAAAATTGATTGTGATGATAGGAAACTTAACCATTTAATTTCAGTAATGTAAATTATTATATTTAAAAATTTCATTTACTGTTTTATAAACAACCAATTATTACAACTGTATTTTGAAATTCGTCATCAAAGGTATTAGAAGAACAATTCTTATTTCATACGTATCTATTAAAATAATATTTTTAGTTTTACTTTTCAGCCAATTTAGTCTAAGTCTATTTAAAATTCGCCCTTTATCCCTCCATAAAAGGGCATGCAGACTACTAGACTATCCCCGAAAGCTTTTAAAAGTTAATGTTTAGCTAATTTCGAAGATAAATGTAATAATTAATTACAGTTTATGATACATTGGAATAAATATATTTTCTAAAACCTTTTCAGATAATAAAAAAAGTATAAATTTAAATGTAAATCCCAGAATTTTTATTCAGTATTCTTCTGGATAATAAAACCAGGATGTAATAAAAATAAGATTATGGTACATAACAATAAGGAAAATGGATAGAAAGCATGCATTCATAATATAATCAATATCATGGGATGAATTACAAGTAAATAAAATGGATAACATAAAGGATAATACTGAATCTGATTACCCATTAAAAAATCACTTAGAAATATTATAAAAACTACATCTAGAGACATTCAGATATCTATAAAACAACAATGAAGAACAAAAGGCATTGGTTAACTTCATTCCAATTAATTTTTGAGAAGTTTGAGCTTAAATTTGTGAATGATTCAAAGAGAAAGCATTTGAAAACGTTAAAAAAATCAGATAATTGATATTTATATGACATCCATTTATTACATGTTAGTTAATTTCAACCTCTGAACAGTGTTTGGCACTTGAATCCAGAAATTTATTGATTAGCATTTAACTTTCAACTGGTATGGCACACATCGCAACCATTAGAGTATATCATTTTTCATTTAAAGCCTTTTCCTAGGAAGGGTATTCATATCAGCCTATGTAGGAAGTATATGCTTATCAGTGCATTCATCATTTTCAGAAGAAATATCAAGTGAATTTTATCTCAAACAAAAATTATTAATCACTTACATGATTAAATGAAGATATACTTGAGGTGTGCATACAGGAAAGAATTTTATTTAGGAGTCCGGGATTCAAAATAATACTAATTAAGCACAATTTTCTTACCATATGAGTTAAAGATTGAACTCACATAAATTAGAATAAAAGCAAATAGGATATAATTAAACATGAACAAAATGAAACTTTGCTAAAATAACAAAACACAGGAAATCTGAAAATGTGGCATCAATCTTGATTGCAATCAAAATAAAATGTTGCTTCTCCAAAATTATGTCATATTTTTTTATAAACTAATCTGATTTAATTCCACGTAATTCCTTGCAAATCTGGAAGACTTTTAATAAAAATTTAATTCCGCTCATTTGCAGTATGAAAGAAATGCCAGTATTTTTCCACCGTCATATATATGTAGACATACTAATAATTCATTAAAATGATATATTTTAATTTGTATATGGTCACAATGAAACATCAAAGTGTTGTTAAGTCTGATGATATAAATGTTTCAATAACTTGTTGTTGAACTTGATATAAACCCCAGCTCTTCATTTACATGGCTAGAACAGTATTACCTTTCTCTAAATGTTAAGATTTCCTACCAGACAGGTACATGCATTTCTTCATTAGAATTATATTTTTCCACCATATGATGAGTTAAGCACATTTGTGACAACATGATTAAGTACTGAATTTTATATTCGATGCTGAAATATTACTTCTGTTCTATTTTTAATAACAATTATGAGAGCTTTTAATAAAGATCCTAATATCGTTACAGTACACTGGTGTGCAAAAATTAAGGACGAGACGGTTTTTTCAATATAACTTTGTACAAAAGCTTTCCAAATCAACACATTTAATACCGTAAGATCCCCAATACGTAAGGACATGAGTAGTGTAAGCAACACTTACTAAAAGAGAAATCAGAGGGATAAAAAGAAGCTTTATTGAAAAAGTAGCATGGAGCGCAATGCGACTGAAGGCCGAAACATCCCTGTGATGGGTGTCCAGCAAGAAACATCCGGTCTTTAATAGGGGATATGATCTCCCCTGACTGCTAGGCAGGTTTCACAGCGTCTGCCCATGCTGAGAATGAGGGTGTCAATGAGTTGTTGAGGCATTGCTGCCCATTCGTCTTGCAGCACCAATCGAAGCTCCGAAATTGTTACTGGTGGTAAGGTACGAGCTGCCAAGCGTCTGCCTAGAAAATCCCATACATGCTCGATGGGATTGAGATCCGGAGATCATGCCAGCCAATCCATACGTTCAATATCCTCACTCTCTAAGAGCTGTTCGGCAGCTACTGTGCGATGACATGGTGCATTGTCGTCCATGAAAAGGAACTGCGGACCCATAGCTTCTCTAAAAGGACGCACATATGGAAGAAGAATCTTGTTACAATAACAGGTCCCGTTGACTGAACCTGCGTCGAAGATGTGAAGGTCTGTATGACTACCAAGCATGATGCCTCCATACCTGTCCTTTCAATGATGTTCGAGGGATGATTGCGGCTTCCCCGCTCTCTCCAGATGAGTATGCGATGAGAATCGCTACTCAGACTGAATCTGCTCTCATCTGTAAAGAGTACTCGTCCTCATTCATTCTCTACAATTCTGGTGTTCCAGGCACCACAGAGAACGCCTTCTCCGATGGGCAGGCGTTAGAGGTACACACCGTACAGGGTGTCGTGCAAACAGACCACCACCGTGCAGTCTTCTGGCCACGGTAAAACGCGATATCGGTCGTCCAGTCGCCTGTGTCGTGTGTCTAGCGTTTTCTCCCGCTGTCTGCCGCCTGTTTCTTCTGGCCTGTAAGGCAATATACCGGTCATCTGCGGGTGTGGTTCCTCGTGGACGACACTACTAAACCCCCGGATAGCTGATCCTGTAGTTTGAAATTGTCTCCAAAGTCGTGAAACGATGCTGTGAGCAATTCCGAACTCTGCAGCCACACTTGTCACACTGCAGCCTTCCTCCAACTTCCCAATGATTCGACCTCAGGTAAAAGCATCCAGATGTCATCTAACAGATTGATTATTTGCCATTTCTCGCTGAGGCAGCAACTCGGTGTGATTTTAACTGCTATACGGCGTGCAATCTCTTTGCCAGAAATTCTGATCTTACACCGACAACATGCTTTATACTACTCAGACACTCCCCCATTACGTCTACCTGCATATCTGCACATGAGCTACCGTACATCACCTTACTTAATCTCCTGATTTGTCTTTCTGTCCACTCTGCCTCTTCGTTCAGCTGATACGCTAATTTTTCGACTTCGTCCTTAATTTTTGCACATCAGTGTAGACAGCTACAGGAATTCAAAATTAGTTCCACTCAGAAGTTGCACACAGACAAAATAAGATTTCACTTTTCCCTAGCCTCGTTCTTGAAAAGTACTATTCCTTTAACCTTTAACTGGTTTGCCCGTGCTCAGCATGTGCATCACTTCCAGGACTCATTTGATTTGCTTGCACAGTGTACGGACTAGAATTTATGTGAACTATTAATGTTTTGCTTGTATTTTTATTTCTTATTAGTTCACATTTGTTAAGAGATGGCTAAAGCTATCCTTTGAAACATGATCACTATATATGGGGAAAGTTTTGGGAATAAAATTTCATGCTGCTCTAATGTTAATAAATAATACTATAATTATTATATACAAAAATATAAAAAAGTATATAATTATTATTTATATAATCCTAGTGTTAAGAGCAACATGTTAATCTTAAGTAATAAAATTTTTAGAACTACCCTTATAAAAATTAAATTTAAATGCTGACAGCATTTAAACTGAAGTTAAAATTTAAAAAAAAAAATGGCAACTTTTAGTGGTTAAACACACAACCTTTTGTTTGACAAATCGTGGTTAAACCCCACGATTTGTCAAACAAAAGGCCCACTAATACTTCTAAAAATTAGCATTCAGGAGACTTATACTGTAGCTTTTATGCATATAAAATCAAAGGCAACAGATATAATTATTATTATTCATTGCCTAAGGAACATATAAGAGCCTAATAGCTGGCTGTTGTATGAAAATTTAAATAATAAGTAAAAGGAACAGTAAAATATAATAGAAAAAATGCTTTTGTAGTAGATAACATGTGAAATTTTAATTTGATTAAAGCTAAGGGTAGAAAGTACATAAATGCATAATTATCAATTATTTCTTACCTGCTGAACAGAACCATAGGTTTCAGAACGACTTGACATTCTAGCTGTTGCTTGCTGAGCAATATCAATATGATTCTGAATTTTTGAAATCAGATCTCTAACATCAGGACTAGTAGCTTTAAGATTAAGTGTCTGTAAGAATGTAATATTTTTTAAATAACATTTTGTAAATATGAACTAAAAATTTAAAAATATTATTTAAAGTTTTTAACAGATGTTAAAAATGCAGTTCTCTTTAACGAAAAAATTAAAAGCGTTAAATTCATATCCATTTTATAAAGTAAAAATAAACAGTAAACAATATATTAAACAAATGGCAATATGGAGCAAAAATGATCTGAACACTAAAAACTCTGAATTACATTTCCACATTGCTGAAAGTTTGTCAGGGTTTTTAAAAATAAATATGCAGATATAAGACAAATTACATTTTTAAAGATTATGATGGCAAATTATAATACTCCCAGATGACAAAGTATTTTATAAATTATACATATTATGTATATGTCATGTTTAAACCATATATTTTTTTGAAATTTTATTACATGGAAAGACAGAATAAAAAAAATAGAATAAGGTAAATGCAATAAGCACTGAGACAAAAATGGCGCTGTAAAACAATGTAGTAAGAGTTCAAGGATTAACACATTGAATAGAAAAATAGTGAAAATAAAAATAGGTGAATTAGAACCCAAGAAAACAGACATCTAAAATCAAGCTCACGAAGTTTGTGAGACATTGGTACAGCCAACGTAGGTTGACAGACCCACATTTTCATTTAAGTTATGCCTTAGTGAATCGAACAAATTAGCCGCAATATCGCAAAAGCAAATTGACGCCGCAATATCGCGAAATTTGTCATGTGTCCGGCTGAATCAAATGGTGCCTTGTAGACACTTCATGTGAGAAAATAATTCAACCAAATTCCCAAAAGAGAAAACTAATAATGGTTGGAAGGTTTCCCCTAGTTTTGAAAACTGAAAGAAAGGCATAAGTAATGATGAAATCAGGAATAATGTGCAGAATTTAGAAAATCCTAATACAGTCAAAAGTCTTTAATCCGGACCTCCAAGCTTTCTATGCATGCGTCAATGCATTATGCGTTGATGCATGCGCCTAATACGTTTATGCATGCGCGTTTAATGTATAATGGACAGTATAAGCTAAGTTATAATTATCTATTTCAGTTAATGTTGCAGATTGCGTTGTTCCTTAATCTTCGAAGTGGATCCGGCTTATTATTTTTTGCAGACTGTTAGAGCAATTTTATAAAAATAAGCTTGAACTTTCGATTATGTCAAATAGAATTTCCAATGCTGGAGCTGCCAAAGGATCTACATGCCCCATCAAACAAAAAGTGGAATTGCTGCAAAAAAATGGATAAAGGCTCCTTTGTTTCTCTAACCATTTCGAAATCTGTTTATCAATTTCAGCCTGCTCTGCGCAGAGGGGGGGGGGACGCCGCGGCGCACAATGAACTGGAAGTTGATCTGTCAGCACTATCCTTATCGTCACGGCAGATGTTTTTATTTTATTCAGCTTATAATTCTTTACTAAATGTAGTCTTTCATCTTGATGTACTCCATCTTTGATATGATTTAAATCGAATCCCTCGTCGTTATAAATATCACAAATACAAATCAAATAGTTTTCTGGTTGCAATTTTCTACTATGCGTAATGTATGCTTTACGCATGCGCGTGTGAAAGAAATGTTTAATAAAGTAAACAAATAAATATTAAGCTTTTTTTTTTTGTAAATTTTGATACCCTTTATATCATAATTGCTCTTTATTTCATAAATTATGGTTTCATATTTTTAATTTTATAATTTCTGCATGCCATCTTACCAGATTTAAACTGATGACCTATAATCCGGAATTGCCGAAGTCCCGATGAGTCCGGATTAAAGACTTTTGACTGTACAATAAATATGTGTTGAGGCAATAACAGGAGAGAAAAGAGGGGCCCAGTATATCACGAGCATGACTAGTCTATTTGAGTCCTAAAATAGAAGAAAGGATGTATCTGACTGTAAGGTGGCATCATCCATTGCACACCACTATCTTTACTAGAAAATTAATCTTCCAGAAATTCATCTTTGCAGGACCTCAGAATATCAAAATTTTGTTTTAACCATCATTTATACAATGCCAAGGGCAAGCAGAACTTTTTCCTATGCAGGCCTGATCTTACCTCTCTCAGCAAATTCAGTGAACTTACTGACAAGCGTCCATGTGGGAATTAAACTCTGGCTGTTTCTTCAGGCCGATTTTCACTTTCAGGGGAAAAGTCTGTGAATGTGCAGCAAATTTTGGCAAACTACAAGTAAAAGTCAAATGATTTTTGTCTACACTTGAGACACCTTGGTGTGTTATTGCAGAACATTTGCCCATTACCATATCTTTGACAACAAAAATACATAGTGCTCCAGTTGCTTCTATACCTTCTAATAGTAAGAATTGTTTCTTCTTATACATGCCTCAAACTTGTATTTGTCTCTTCAGAGAAACAAAAAATATAGGACATTTCAACTCAATACCTTCAGATTTAACTATAAATTGTCAGACTTTAATTTTAGCCTTCTTCGCAAAGTTTGGCTTTAACTTCGTCCGCAGTTATGTACCTAGTTAACCAACTTATTGAAACTTTTAATGGAGTGTCTTCTTTCAGTCTAAATGTGCTGAACTGCATTTCATTCTTCATGAAAATAGTGTGGGTGTAATCACGATCTGGGGCAGAGTAAAAATAATAGTAATCTTGCTCCGGTCAGAGTTCCTGTGTAATTATGTTTCGTATACAGTAGTCCTCTTATTTCTTTCTACTTTACCTCCAGCCTAAAGCAAATTATCAGAGGCAGCCTTTCTTTTGCTAGAATAGGCATGGTGTCAGCAGCAATGACCAAGCTGTCATTAATCAAGTTTCATCACTTTGATCGTCCATTTTTTAATCATCAGAAACAGAAGCAGAAGAGCATCAAACTGATCATCAGTTGATGTCCGTGCAGTAATCATCTTAACAACTCTGGAATTTTCTTTTCCATCATTTTCTGTTTTGTCTGCAGTTGGCATACTTTGAATCATCTTTACGGCAGGTAAATGTAGCAGTGACTTTTTTTTTCTGCTAGAGTTGACTTCAAAAACTTAAGGTTTTTTCTCCCTCCTTCCAGCATGCCTTTGTGGTGTAACAGTTAGCACACTCAGTGTGTATTCAAGAGGTCTAGATTCGAGTCCCGACAAAGGCATTGCATAATTTTCACATCTTCGGAATCAAAATAACCTAATGCCTCTACAGCAGCGCTCAAACTAAAAGGTGGTGAATTATGATTCTTTACCACCAGGATTTGGTGACTGGGCCTCCTAATTCCCAGTCGCCCTTTAAAAGTGGCAGTATACACCAACAGTGGGCACAGCCCAACCCACATAACCAAACAAGTTAGTCTTATGGTCATAACCAGGCCATGCCTGGAGTATATATAGCATTTTCTCCCTCCTTCCAGCATGCCTTCATGATGTAACTGTTAGTACACTTTGTGCATATTCAAGATGTCCAGGTCCAAAATAACCCAATGACTCTACAAATTAAAGGGCAAGTTTTCATTATTAATTGGGCTAAATAATGCCTCTGAATTGTTCACGAGAAAGATCTTAATCCATCAAAGTGATAAATTCCATTTTGCTGTGCATAAATTTGCTTGAACTGGTTTCCAAGATTTTAATTGCAATTCCTCAATATTTTGAAGAACATGAAAAATCACATCTTCACCTCCATGGTAACCCAAATTAAGCAGGATTGTATACGATTGGTCAACTTAAATGGAAGAGTGCTCAGTATGATTTAAAAGAAGCACAAAATGTTATAAGAGGCGAGTGGCATTGACAGTATTGTCAGCCAATCAGAAAGCAGTGGAAAATAAATCAATTGCAGATGATTGTAACTTGATATATAACAGGAGCAGCAGACAATACAACCTTCATATTTGCCAGTTCCCCTCTGAATTCTCTCTTCTGATAACTTATGCCTTAGCAATGGAATGTCCTCTATTTTATACACTGTCTGGATGCTCTGCTGCAGTGCACTGGAGCTCCAGTTAGTTAGCTATTGGTCTCTAAAGCTTAATCGTTTGTATATTCTACCATAAGGTATGAACATAAGCAATTTGCTCCCATTCAGATAACTCCTTCTCGGTGCATCACTTTAAAAATTATAGAGTGCATATGTGCATATTGTTGGCAAGCAAATAGTGATGGACTGTCGCCAATAGCACGATAAACATTATGAACTGGAAATCCTGCAAAGGAGTTAACTGGGTAACTCGCTTATTCTTTACTTTTACAATTCTCACTCCTTCAAGAAACGACATTGATATGACACTCTTTATTATATAACTCCCTTTCGATATATATATATATGTTTGAATACTAATGAATCTTAATATACTTTTATGTATTGATAAAGTATATGTTTCACTTACAATTTCTGTCTACAACCTTTTTTGAATTACAAGTTAATTAGCTATTATCTCGCTTGAAACTGAGCTGGATACACGGTAAAAAGAAATAATTTACACTCTACTTAATTTATTGTGAAATTTCGAGGTTATAAAAATGTTTTACAACACACATATATATATAGGATATAAAAATAGTTATTTTGGTTAAAAATAGTTATTTGGTGCCACAAGTTGTCCAAAAGAAATATTTTTTGTAAAAAAATGCAGATGAGACTGCTATGACGAAGGAAGAGATATAACTGATGAAAGAAAAGATGCATGCGTTGAAAAGATGAAGGGACTTTTATCTTTGTTGTGACAGTTTCCCTTGCAAATATTCATGTTCCTGTCCACCATTTTCATAGTATGTATGAATTGTTAATATCTTCAATAAATATTCAAGTTACCTATCAACTAGACTAGTTTATTATTAGCCTCTAGTCAGTCATTTACAAAATATAAGTATCAAGCCTATATATATATATATATATATATATATTATATATATATATATATATATAAGCCTATATATATATACATATATATATATATATATATATAGGCTTGCTACTTATATTTTGTATATATTATATACAGGGTGATTATAAATTGTTTTACCAAAATTAAGAGGGGTGATAGTACCCATCCAGACAAGCAACAATTACCATAGAACATAGGGTCGCACTCCACTCTAAGAGGCAAAAAAGGGGAAAGTAGAACGCATCGACAAAGAAGGCGACTATCAAGAATTATCTGTATGCAAATTTGCACAGAGAAGAAGCAGCATTTGGCCCTTAGTTGGAACCGAAGAAAGCCAATCAGAGCAAACGGTGTCCTTGAAAACAGCACAACATCATCGCTTCAAACATTACCTTGCTAACATGGTCCGAAACTTGGAGAATTCTATGGCATGGTGGAAACATGGTGAATGCTATGGCAGAGTACACATATAAGGAATTGGCAAATATTCACTCACATATGATGAAGCCAAAGGTAATGGATGCAAAGCATGAAGATTGTACGAACAGTGGTTTCCAACTCATTGGATTCCAAGTCATCTAGCCTTTCTCAGTGTTGATCGAAGTCTGCGAGAAGCCAGTTCTTTTGCCATCTCAAAATGCAATGCAGGATGTTCGTGAAATGCACGAGTCCCAAAAATGGACGAGTGAATTTTAACTAGATTTGAAGCAGTTCTTTCCACAAGTACACGAGCGGTGGCTTGCAAAATGGGTGTTTCTCAGCCAGTGGTGTGGCGTATTTTATACAAGGAATGCATGCACCCTTACCACATGCAAAAAGTGAAATTTTTGGACACAGGTGATTATCTCTGTGGAGCAGACTTTATGCAGTGGATGCTTGGAATAAGGAATAACAATTCACGAATTCGTGCATTAATATTATTTATGATGAGGTAACATTCAGTACAGAAGGCCTTTTCAAAGTGCACAATCAACACTTTTGGTCTGACAGCAATCCCCCACTGCACTACCTCTCATAAAACACCACCAGAAATTTTCCGTGAACGTCTGGGCAGGTATCCTAGGTGATTACCTTGTAGGCCCTTACATCATGCCAGACCGTTTGACACACCTAACATACCGTATCTTCTTGGAATAAGTGCTTCCCATTTTATTGCAGGCTGTTCCACTCCCCATCCAGAAAGACATGTGGTTTATGCACGATGGAGCCGCAGCACATTTTCCCGTCAGGTTCTGTAGCTTTTTTAATGCCACATATCCCGCATGATGGACCTGTCGCTTGGCCTCATTGCTCACTGGACCTCAACCCACTGGACTTTTTCTTCTTGGGGCACATGAAATCTGTAGTGTACGAGACACCTATGGACTCAGCTGAGGATCTTGTGGTGAGGATCGTTGTTGCCGCAGACAACATTAACGTGACATCAATCTTCGAGAGGGTGTGCCTGTAGATCCTTTGCTGACGTCAACTGCGCAACGACACACGTGATCGACATTTTGAGCCCTTTCTGTGAGTTTATTACTAAACAATAAATCTGACTGCACATCTTTTGGTCTCATTCATTCGCTTTCCCAACACTGTTCTAAGTTCAGATTGTAATTCTAATATTCCTCTTTTCTGCCTCTCAGAGTGGAACATAACCCTATGTTCTATGCTAATTACTGTTCATCTGGATGGGTTCTATTACCCCTCTTAATTTCTAAAAGCAATTTAGAATCTCCCTAGATATATATATACACACATATTCAGAAACCTGTTCTGTTCATCAGATTGCCTGTATTTTATTAAATGCTCACTGGAAGTATACATCTAGAATCGAGTTCATGATACCTTTATCAAATACCTATACATTATGTGTTGAGCATTTGTTTTCTATTCCATATTCTGAGATCAAATTCTAATCCATTTTTATATCAAGATTCTAGAGCAAATTTTATCCTATGTAGTTATGCCTACCTATACATAGTCCAAATTAAAAGATGAGTTTATGTAGAATTATAAGGGTTATTCAGAAAGTAAAGAACAATCATGCAACATGTTCATGCACAACCACCTGCCACACTTACAGCAAACCACTAACTCAATCTACGTTAGATTTCATTTCTGTATAGTAATGTTTACATTGCTAGAATACTTTTCAGACTGGCCTTGATAATAAAAAATCCCATATCTAATCTAGGCATACCTAATTATAGGGAAAATGATGGCAATTGCATTTTGGGACCAGAAGGGCTTACTGCTCGCTGAAGTCGTGTCAAGATAGGATACAATAACATCAACAGCCTACTCTGAGACTTTTCAAAGAATTCTATGCACCATCCAAAACAAAAGGTGTGGATTTTTATCTGTCAGGATCACGATGATTCATGACAATGCTCAATCTCGCATGGTTTAATCAAAACAAGAAACACAGCAATTCAAGTAGGGTGTTTTCCAGCAGCATCCTAATAGACCCGACTTGGAGCCAAGTGACTTCCATTTTTTTCTGAAAATGAAGGTGTATTTGTCAGAAAACACTTAAAAGCGATAAAGATCTCAAAAAACCAGTGATGGCGTGATTATGGTCATTGATGATAGATGAGTACAACAGGGGTATTGAGGAACTTGTGCCACAAAATGATAGGTGCATTGATAACAATGACAGCTATTTTGAAAAATAGAGTTTGATCCATTGTTAATGTGCACAAAGTCTTGTGATATATAATTTATTTTAATTCAGCAACACTTAAACATTCTTTATTTTCTAGATGACCTGTATACATATTACATCATTATAGTCACATTTAGTGAAATCCTCTTCTTTGAAATTATTAACAGTTTTAAAAGAAGATAAGCAGAGCCATGCCATTAGTAGACTAACAGGGCTAGCTTAATCACTTACGAGTTTTGGTAACAAAACACTCAACTTAATTTTTCTCCCAATATTTAAATTTCTTAAAAGGAATGGAATTTTACTTCTTTTGAAAAATGTGCCCTCGAAAAGTGTATTCAGATTTTTTACATGACTCAATATGTTGATTCTATATGAGAATGTTAGAAAATCATCTGCAAAGGCATCCATCCCTTAGGCAGATAACCCTCATGTACTTTGCCATATTCAGATAAATTTACTTAACCATCTACATGAGAATGGACTAGCTAGTTTTTTCACCTGTTCCTATCAGCACTTAAGTATTTTTAACCCACAGCAGTAGGTAAGAAGAAATTAATTTTCTCATGTTTCTTAGAAGTGATGACATTTTAATTTTTAGAGCAACATTGAGTGCATGAATGTTTTTGGAGATGATGATGAACTGCTGGGTATAATGTGACATTCAAATGAAGCTTGCCTTCATTTAAGTGATTAGATAAATTTTTAAAATACAAACATATAGCCAAAAGAGCACCCTCACGTAATGCATGAAGTGTTGCTCAATTTAGAAATGACTAGTGTGCAATCTCTGTGTGACTTAAAATCAATCCAACATTCTTCTATTGAATACTGCTTGCTTCTTGAAAATTTTAAATGATTTTGGGAATCATTTTGATGAGGATGAGCTCCAAAATGGTTACTTTCAGAAGCTGCGCCCCTCCCTGGCCACACATCAAATGACAGCATGCGTGAAATCAAAAGCTTCCTTAATGCCCACATTACTTCAACATATAGCCAAAAGAGCACCCTCATGTAATGCATGAAGTGTTGCTCAATTTAGAAATGACTAGTGTGCAATCTCTGTGTGACTTAAAATCAATCCAACATTCTTCTATTGAATACTGCTTGCTTCTTGAAAATTTTAAATGATTTTGGGAATCATTTTGATGAGGATGAGCTCCAAAATGGTTACTTTCAGAAGCTGGGCCCCTCCCTGGCCACACATCAAATGACAGCATGCGTGAAATCAAAAGCTTCCTTAATGCCCACATTACTTCAACATATAGCCAAAAGAGCACCCTCATGTAATGCATGAAGTGTTGCTCAATTTAGAAATGACTAGTGTGCAATCTCTGTGTGACTTAAAATCAATCCAACATTCTTCTATTGAATACTGCTTGCTTCTTGAAAATTTTAAATGATTTTGGGAATCATTTTGATGAGGATGAGCTCCAAAATGTTTACTTTCAGAAGATGGACCCCTCCCTGGCCACACATCGAATGACAGCATGCGTGAAATCAAAAGCTTCCTTAATGCCCACATTACTTGAACAGGCTGATGGCACCCAGTGTCTCTGGACTTAAGTCCATTTGATTATTTTCTGTAGGGTGCTTTAAAAGGAAAATTCATGCTAACAAGCATTGCATAATTACAGGAACTCAGAAACAACATTTCATGCAAAATTGCAAAGATTAGTAATGATCAGCTATTTTCACAAACACGAAGTGTCTCCTTAGGTCATGCCCAGCTCATCCCCATTAAAATACTGGAAATCCTCATCATTAAGTGAGCATTCCCAGCATTTGCTCTTAAATCGACTTCCAGCATCTGCTGTCATATAGAGAAAAATTTGTAATCATATATGCATGTTAAAATTTGAAAAATATTCTTTGAGATATTGCTATTAACTTGGGTCTAATACCAAAAGAATCATGTTATATAAACAAATATACATTAAACTGAAATGCAGTAGATTTCTTAAATTTTTAAAAAAATAATTCTAGTCTGACATATAAGATGATGAAATTTTTAAAAAAAGTCACTAGAATGGTCATAATTTTAAACAGCAAATCCTCATTATAAAAGAGTAATTAAATATTTCATTGCATGAATACACTTACATTTAAATGATCTCGCATAGCCTGAAATTCATTTTCTACATTTTTCTCAGCTATATCTCGTTGACGTTTATTTACATCAATTCTTTTATTCAGAGTTGTACGATCAGTTTTGAAAGCCAGGGACAGTGCAATAAACTTACTCTGAAAATAAAAGGAAAAATTTAGTTGGAATTAATGTAAATAATAAAGTTGATCACAATATATTTACATGTTTAAATAGGAAATAATGCACTCATTAAACTTACTTCAAGTTCTTGCTCATCAAATGCTTCAACCCTAAATAAGATTTTTAAGTTAAATTTCATATTAAAATGTTTCTAAATATTATTATATGCATATTAAATGAAAATCTATAGTTACATTACAACTAATTTGCAGTCTTAAAATATCAGACTGCTGAAGGCACATGCAAAATTTAGAATATTTAGATCAAGGCAATTAAACTGAATTCTTTCTCTCAAGCTGGACAAAAATATGTTTAAACACATGTCTATTTCCACATCTAAGAATTTTAAGATCATATGGTGCAGTAATATTAAAAGTACAAAGCATTAAATGCTCTGAAGCTTAATTATATACTTATATTGGGTAAATCTAAACAAGTCGGCAAAATTTTAGGGCCTGATAGAAAACAGCTATACAAGTAATATCCATGATAGAATGTATGGTCGGAACGCAGGTGGTGAAAAGTTAAAGGGTAGTTTTCAACTGTCACATTTAAAGAATTAACACTAGAATGAGAGGAGACACTTCAGAAAACATTTTATTAACAGAATAATTCATAGAAATTGCTCAAAAGATCTTCCGCCTGCTGTAATGCTGGCTTCACATCTGCGGGATAGGGACTGATGCACATTTGTGAAGACCCTAGGCATTTCCTTAATAACACTGGTAACAACGTAGATCCTGGCAACTAGATCCATATTGGTTTCAATGAGGCACTTGTAGATTAGGCTTTTCATATGGCTCCATAGGAAAAAGTCCAAACACAAGAGATCCAGTGATCTTGGTGGGCAAGCTATGGAACCACCTCGACCAAACCACTGACCTGGAAATTTCGTGGTTTGTATAACCAGCAATTCTCTCAGCAATCCATGGTAGAAAATGCCATTAGGTGCGAGTTTCGACCCTTTTTATACCATTTATTTACAATGCCACCCAGTGGCTCGCCGTTTGCATTACGACCATACATTTTATGATGAATATTGCTCGTGTAGCTGCCTTCAATCCCCCCTAAAATTTTGCTCACTTGTTCAGATTCACCCTGTATATGCATCTATTACAGCATATCATGTATGCTCAGTCTCAGTCTTTGATACGATCAATGCTCAGTCTTTGATACGATTAAGTTTAAATTCTATAACAACAACAACAACAACAAAAAATCAATTATTTCAGCATTTTCCTTTCTTTACAAAACAAACTAAACAATTCTAGGTCTTTAAATGCTACAATCATAGCTAAATACTTTATACTTTATCCATGCATCATAAAGCATGAGTTATTTCCTTTTATATGTTTGTTCGTTTACTAAATTTATATCAGAGATTTCATATTTATGCTCCATTCACGGTTGTAAAAAATTCTAACACAATGAAGATTAAATTGGGAATAATATTAATGTCTTTAACTGATTTTAATGAGAAATTAACATATATTTTTAGCAAAAATCAGTAAAGTACCTATTTATTTTCACAATTTAAGAACACCATTTTGAAATTTCACACATATTTCCTGAGACTGCAGAATTGAAATTACAGTAAAAGTTTAGCTTTAAATCATACTCATTTATCTATCTTACTTCCAAGCTTACCTTGCTGTCTGATAAGGATTTTTTTTTGGTAGGTATTGATAGTTATTGAAAGAACACCATTAAATGCTTCCCATTTGGATAAAGGTGATATGTTAATTCATAAATATTAATAAATTTCTAAAAGACATATTTTAACATCTTGTAAATAAAAGTATAAATAGAGTCTTTTGTTGATAACCCAATTTACAAATGATGTAAGAAAAAAATTTAAAAGTGGATGAAATTAAATGAATGCAATGCAAATAAATTAAGTAATTACCTTAAAATACAGTCAAAATTTCACTAAAGTCTGAGAGAAGGCGCAAAATAAGCAAGTGGCATAAATGAGTATTGCATAAGCAGTGTGATATACTCATAATTAATTAGCGAAGTTAATAAACATCATCTTTTCGCAATGCATTATTTATGTTTAAAAAGGTACAATCTGCATACAAAACAATGTGACTCATACATAAGTAAACATCCATGTATTTCAACACCATGCATATCTATTTAGTTGATACCATTTACACACAATGAAGCATAGTACAAAGAAAATACTTACGATAAGGGACTATCTTTATGGACGCCTAGCTTAGCTAAAAATGTGTTTGGCAAGCTTGGAAATGCTACATCAGACACAGAAACAAAAGGAACATCCACGGACAGAGGTAAATCAGGTGCTTCATATTCAAAACTACCTTTAGCAGACTCAGTTTCTGAATTTTCCATTATTTCAGGCATTAAAGTCTTTGATTTACTTGCATCTTGTTTCTTTTGACTAGTCTGATAAAAATAACATTTTTTTATTATATTAACAGAAATACAGTTTACCAATTTTATTTATTAAACATTTTTGTGAAATTAATAAATAAGATCATTACAAAATTTCATTAAAAAATTTTGCTTCATATGAAATGAACATAGATCAGATATTACTCAGATTTATTAAACATAGGTACGAAGCATCATTAAAAGGTATTACTCAGGAATTTAAATTATTTCTCAAAGACTATACTACATAAGCAGGTAAGGATTATCATATAGTGATAAGTTTAAAAAAAGTATGATTTGTTAAAATGTACAAAGGTAATCTGCATTATTATTTTTGGTATCAAACACAGCATTTTCCTACAAAATGATCAGTAAATTCTGGAAGGTTTTACTCTACTCAACAGCTGTACAGATGACCTTAAAAGATTCAAATGGCAGAATTCTTAATGTTCATGCATCACATCTGTCGTTGACTTTCCGCTTGGAAACTGATACTATTAACTGTAACTTGCATAACTGCAGACAACTAACAATGGCTAATTATTTGAACGATTGGTTTTAATTCTTTTTAGTGATGATGTGTTCAAATGATTCAAATGCATGAAATGCCCAGAACTTGTGATGAAGAATTTTCTGGCATATCATTTTGAATTCACCACATTAAAATAAAATATAAAATTAACAACAGACCGCAATATCTAATCTAAAATGTACATATGCCCAGTCAAAAATGTACTTGAATAACATATGAATAAAAGCTGAAAATACAGGTATGAAATCATTTTTCTGTACAAAACAGACTAAATTTTAGGAACAGAAATGCTAATTTTACATTGCATGCATCTAACATGGAAAATTGTAAATGTATCTCATATGATTATTTAATTTAACTTTCAAACAAAGTAAAATCTGGGCTGAACAAGTAATGAATACTTAAGACAAAGAGGTGAGAAAATTTATTTTATATAAAACGACAGTTTTTTTAAAATAGTATGGCACACTTTATGTACTTTAAGAAACAGCAAATGTCATTCCGATTCAGAAATTATGGACTGGAAGACATCAAATAAAAAGTGCTCTATAAAAGGTGACTCTTTATCTCAATAAAACAGATTGCTGATTCTCAATAAAACAGATTGCTGATTCTAAAACTAATACTAAGAATTAGCAAGTCAACAGTGTTAAATTAATTTGTGAGCACCATAAAAAAATATCTATGAAATATATAGCTCCGTTTGCATGGCTACGACTTTCCATTTCATGGGAGTGCAGATGATTACTGAGGACTAGACAAGCACAGTAAAACTATGAAATGTTTGGTAAGTCTTGATCTCTAAAAAGTATAGTATGAAAGGGAGGTTAATTTTTTTTTAGTTGATAGGAAAAAGGATTTACATAGTAACCTAATGCATCACCGATTAGTAACAATATGCTCTCAAGGATAAGATTTTAGCAACTGAAAACAATACCACTTTTTAGAGGTATTAAAAATGTATTTATAAATGTGAAATATACTAAAAATGCCTCAAGTTATTAGCAGCTACAAGATTTTAGGCTGCTGTATCAATAGAGGGTTGTACCAAAGAATATTAGAACACACATGACAACAACCCTTCTAAAAAGGAAATTAGGATTTTAATATTTGTCATGTTAACAAAGAAATATGCAATGGATTCTGACACCTGTTTATAGAGATTTATGATTTATAGAGATTTATTTATATTCTGATATTTATTTATATTCTGATTTATAGAGAACAAAAACAACTGCTATTTTACCAATAAGAAAATATTAGCATATAAAGAATTACAGTAATTAAACCCATAAAATCTCATATGTTGATTGACCCAAGAAAAGAGAACAAGCCAAATTTCAATTTTTAATTGCATCTGACTTCCCATATTTTCTCTTTTGTTTCGAAATACTTTTTATTAATGTGAATTTATCATACACTATTGCAGGGATCAGCAAACTGTAGCCTACCATCTATTTTAATAAGACCTGCAGCTTAATATCTTTTTTACATTAAAAAATTTTAAGTACATCAAATTCCAGTCCAATGCAAATGTCCATAGTCAAGTTGGCACTTACTGACTATCAACACTCCATGATATTTTTATCTTTTCATGTTGTTTATTACCAGCCATTGCCATGACAATCTCAGAACGAGATAAGAAGAGAAAAGTGGACTTTAAATATTATGTTTTTAAAGTAGAATGGAATGTGTTTATTTTGTCACAGAATTAAATGACAACAATACAAACTTAATGCAATACATATTGAGTATCATGTTAAATTATTATGTATTGTATTATAATACTTGTATTGTGTTACATATGTTACTCATATTGAGTTATTAAGTATTGTATTATGTTTATTATTTAATGAATTAAATTATCATGTAAGAACTCTACTTATTATGTAATTACATAATAGCTGTGCAAAAGAGCAAAATATACCTCATTACCAAAGTAAGTACTCAACACAATACCCCAAAAATAACAGAAAATGAAATATCACTAAAACTGGAAAGTTTAAAATGTAGTGCTTCATCGCAGTGCAGTTTGTTTAAACCTGCACTGTGATGAATACACTGTGATGCCTACCGACAGATAGCCTTATTAAGTATAAAGTGATAATGAAGCAAGTAACTAAAATAAATTTATGAATTGGTATTTATTAGCTACAAAAGGGAAACCCTATACTGATGGCGAAATAATTAAATAAAATTTGCTTCTGGTAGCCAAAGAACTTAGAGAAAATGAACTTGTTTCAATCTGTTAGTCTTTAAGTTAGAACAATTGTTAAAAGAGTTGAGGAGAAGAGTTAACTAAAAGACAAGGGGAAAAAATAAATTGGTTTTCATTGTCTGTTCGTAAGTCAACAAATATTTCTCCTCCTACCGAATTGTAAACAACATTTATTCAAAGGCTCAGTACTCAGTTTGAGGTGACTGAAGAATTAGGTTCTATGAATAGTAGGCATGGAATAACTACAGATGAAGATATTTTCAAGGAAATTGATAAAGTGCTATATTTGCAATGGAATCATTTGAGATGTGCCACAACTAATTGATGGTCATAAAAATATATGTTTAACATGGAAACGATTAGTTGGACAGATTTTTAAAGCTTGTGAAGGAGCTTAATGTTCAAAACTTCTGGTAATTCTTTGCTTTATTCATTAGCAAGCTTCTTGCCACAAACACCTCACTATGTCATGTATTATTGAACCATTTGTGTCTGCAGTTAACTTTATTCACTTTCGTGGATCTAATACACTGTCAGTTTTGTGATTTTCTATTAGAGATTGAAGCTGATTATCCTGACCTTCCCTACCAAACAGTACTTTGAAGGGTCAGCAACTGAAAAGTTTTATTGAGGTTTTTAAACTTGGAAAAGTAATGGAAATGTTTCTAATGAGAAAAACTGCCCACAACCACTATTATTGAACACTACGGAATGTCTACAAAAATTAGCATTTGCTTTCAAATATTAGCATAACCCAATTCCCCCCAAAAATTCATGCTGGATAAATTTTCTGAACTTAAATTACAGTTACAACAGCGTTTTTTGGATTTTGATGCAAGTACAAAAGACATTTCCATATTTTAAAATCTATTTGACTGTACAAGTGAGGAGTTTCCATCAGCCTTCAGTAAGAAGTCATTAATCTGCCAAATGATATGATGCTAAAAACAGCATTATAAAAAATGGATCAAACTGAGTTCTATTATTATCTTTTGGAAGATTTAATACAATAAGTTCAAATTATATGCACAGAGATTTATATCTGTATTTGAGAGTACTTAACAGGTGAAAGGTCCTTTTCGAAAATGAAGTATGAAAAGTTGCAATACAGATCATTATTAACAGATGACCATTTGCAAAGAACTTTAATAATAAGAAGTACTGATTTCGAACTTCCATATGATGAAATACTATCTCAGGACGAAAAATTACATTCATAGCATTAGCACAAAATTTAACTTGCCATATTTATTAGCAAAAAAAAAAAAAAAAAAAAAAAAAAAAAAAAAAAAAAAAAATATTTGTCTTTTATTTTTGTGTAAGAGTCAAAATGTGTATAAATATTACGTAAAAATAATTCTTTCTAAAATTTTTTTAACCTCCCTGCCCTGTTTTTAGCCAATTGAGCCTACAACTTTTACAATTCGGCTCTTTCAAAGAAAATCATCTGTCAATCCCTGCATTAGTACAAAGTTTGAAATCCAGACATCCAATATCTGGAATGATCTAATGTTCAGACTTCCCAACCATCAGCTATTTTTTAAAAGAAATTTTTTGCTAAAAGGGACACAGACAGTACAGATTTCAAGAGCAGTGCTTGGTAAAATGCTTCACACATGTGTAGTAAACAATTTTTTATAACATAGCATGTGAACGGTCCTGATTTCTTAATTTCACTTTGATACTAAATAAAACATCTCCATACACAAATACATCACAAGCTACAAGAAGTATAAATACATCTCAAACCAAAAATTCTATCAAAGTTTGTTGCTGATTTTGCATTTAATGAATATCATATAACCCTTATGCAAACCTGGTAAATAATTTATTATTAGTTTTTGCTTTCCTCACCACATTACTATTAGCCTATGGCAGCTTGAGAAATGACTTGTGCAGCAGTGTCTACATCAATTTTTGTTTTAAATATCAGCAATTACATACAAAACAGCATGGTAACCTTTTAAGCTGACATTATACTTGGCTACGATTACAAACTTAACACTTTACCCACCGATTGCCTATTAATTGGCTTTTTATCGCCAATGCCTACCGACCGATAGCCTTATTAATCGGCTTTTTTCGCCAACGCCTACCGACCGATAGCCTATTAAACGGCTTCTTTTCATCAATGCCTACTAACCGCTTTTTTTCTCGGGGCTACCAAAAAATAGCCTATTAACAGCTTTTTTTCTCAGGGCTACCTAAAAATAGCCTATCAATCGGTAGCCATTGCAATAAACAAATGCCATTTGCTATATCATCTGCATTTTATTATTAGTATTGAGGTATATTGTTCACTTGCATTAAATTCGTGGCTTTGTAAACTCCCACATTTTCAAACCATTTTTTAAAAATTCACCGTTCACGATGAGCGAAAAAATGGCTCTGGAGAGTTTAATTTAAATGATTTATCAAACTGTCCTGACAGTTATTCAGAACAGGGAGAATCTGCAGCTGAGCGGCCGGTCGGATGTGCGTATGCTGTTGAATCACTAGCGGTCGATAAAGTGTTAAGATAACTGCACTGAGAAGTGTTAAGTATGTTGTCGCCCAAGTTTTTTGACGATAAACCACGGAAATTCTACACCCAAGGAATTACGAAACTACCCGAAAAACCCGAAAAATGGCAATAGATCATGGATAATAATCATCAATAGGTATTTGATTAAAATTTATTTTCAATAAAGAAAATTTTTGTTCAAAAATGTACAAAAAAGTACAGAAACTTTTTATATGACCTAATATATTTCTGGGATTTTAGAAATTAAATGTGTCAAAATTCTTCTGGCATACTACATGTAACAGAATTCTGAATTTAAGAATGTTATACATAAATAAATCACAAAATAATATCACTGAATGACAAAGCAGGGAAAACAACCTTGAACTATTCCAATTTTTTTTTTTTTTTTAAGGGAAGCTGAAAGATGTCGAAAACCAGAAATTTTACAATTAAATATCTGTCAATTTTTATTGTATGATAATCAAACATTTTCTTTTTTTTGCAAAATGAGTACAAACTTTTGACTAAGAGATTGTATATAAACTTAGATTTCCTAATATTTGCATCACTTAAAACATTTTTCTTATTAGAATATATCTTTTTATGGACATGGTGTGCATTAGATTCTTACATTCATTAACATGTGTTTTCTGACACAAATTCACACTTTTATTAAATAACATGCTGATTTTGTTTCATGCAGTTCATTTCTGCACATCAAATACTAATTTTTTTGTAAAATTTATGAATTTCAGAAAGTTACACACATGCAAATCACAAAGGAATAACACTGAATGAGATTAAGGGGGAAACCTTGAAATATCATAATTTATTTTTTAAATGACCCCCTCAAGGGCAGCTGAAAAAGACTCAAACATCATAAATTATGCAATTAAATTACTTTAAATATTAATTTTAGTTATTAGCATTCAAAGTTTGTCGCTAGCTTTCTACTTGGCATTTAGAATAATTGAGCTTGATAAAATTTCCTGTTAATGAGAGTTTCTTAAAATTCTTTAATGATAACATGACAAGTATTTTAGAAATTTAAAGCATGGCTTTACTAATTCTGCATTTTAATACCAATATTTTTTTATTAAAAAATATATTAACCCTCTGAGCATCCTGGCTTTTTGGATCTGTCATGAAGACCCGAATTTAAAGAGCTTTTATTAGCTAAATATGTATATTTCAATATTTTAGTCTCTGTTTTCCTAAACTTGCATTCATCAAGATGTCATTTATATTATTAATGAAAGTAAGAAAGCAAATTATTTGAAATTATAAGCTTATATATAACATGAGACAAAAAATCTCATGACTGGATAAAGGTGGTCATGGCACACAGAGGGTTAAATATTTCATACTGTATATCTTAAAAGTTAGACATATAGTATAAAGACCCTTTTGCAGTTACCAAATATAAATAAAAATTTCTTTCAAATTAATTCAATTATCAAATTCTTAAAATCTTTTGCATTTTTAAACACAATTCTAATTTAAAAAATATTAATTCCATATTACTTTTAAATTAAAATATTTAATATAGCAATCTATTAAATTTTGTTGAGAAAAATGAGCTGAAGAAAAGCATCATCAAAGTAAATCTGAATAACATAAAATATGTGTTTTCTAGATTGAGAATGATCAGTGGTGTCAATCTTACACTGAATAAGAATTTCTGCTTTATACACTTACATTTATTCATATTTCTTACACTCAGATGGTAAGCAAGTTTTCATAGATTACTACTCAAAAAATTTTTAAATGCTACATAAAGCTTTCTTAAAAAAAAAAAAAAATCAGAAAATGTGTCTAAGCACTGTTTTCAATTAAGCTGAAAATGCAAATCCTGTAAAAAGAAAGCAAGACAATTTTTAAAAAGTGCAGTATTGTTAAATATAAACCAGACTGTAATTTAGGTTCTTAATACTTTAAGAACCTAAATTAAGAACTTAACAATTTGATGTTACTCAAAATAATAATAAATAAAAATAAGGTAAAATAATACATATGTATATAGATATATAATTAAAGACATAAAGTAAGAAATTTAGAACTAATATTTCACAAAGACCAGAAATTGAATTTCATAATTAATAAATTTCAAATAGTCATATAAATGCACCAAAGAATTTTAAAGTGTTAAAAAAATAACATTTCAAAGAAGCAAAATCCCACTCCAAAAAACTTTTGAAATTTAATGAAAAATGAAGAAAAACAGAAGAGGAATTCAATCAACCTCAATGTCGCTTCATCCGGGGGGGGAAGAGGAACTTTGAAATTAAATGAAATCTCTCTTCTACAGAAATCCTTGCTTTTCTGTATCCAGAATTAGCCAATGAGTCATTTCAATGTATTTTAATTATAAGAGTTCACCCAAAAATTCTGGCTCTTTCCTAAACCAAGCGAAAAGAACATAAATTCTAATTAAAAAAATTAGAATAATCTTAAAAAAAAAAAAAAAAAAAAAAAAAAAAAAAATTCTTTTTCTTTTTAAAAGAATTGAAAACAAAAATGAAAAAAATTGAAAACGAAAGTGAAAAAACAATATACTTCAGTGAAAAATTTTGTAGAAGAGAGATTTCAATTACTGACATTAAGAGATTGGTCATAAAATAAAATAATGAATTTCCATTTTCAAAGGAAAAAACAAACAAAACTTATATAAGCCTAATTATAATAATTTTCAGGCAATAAACTCTTGTAATCAGGAAAAGACTTTATGCTCAACTTGTATAATCACTGAAGCACATTGGCTGTTAATAATAAATTGCTAGATTACTTATGGAATTATTTAAACATAATTGCATCAGGTTTTCATTTATTATTACCCATCTCACATAAAATAAAGTTAACTAAGAAAATATATTTAAGCTTACCTCTTTCAAATGTGAGCTGTGACTTGAATCATTATCTCTAGCAGTTTCAGCTCCTTTCTTGCCTTGAAGATTCTCAGCCTTTAGATTATGATTTGCTTCAGGCTCCTTTATAATGTAAGGAAAAGATTATATACATGGTATATATTAACTATTACTTATTAAAAACATATAATAAGTAATTACCAAGAAAAAAAGGTCATAAAATTAAAATTGGTTGAATAAAATTTTTACTTACAGATGGTGATGGAAGAAAGGAGTGCACATCTTCCTGCTCATCAAAATCGAATGCAGGGTACCGAGGGATACTTAACTGAGAATTTGGTGAGCCTATAAGAAAAAATATTTTAACAAACTAACAAGAGACTGAGATGTTTGAAAACTTTCTTGAAATTGTTTAATCATATTGTAATCATGTAAATAATTCAAAACCTACCCCAAAATGAAAATATATAGATGATGAAAAATATTAATACAAAATATCTAAAATTCTATTACCAAAAAATTTCTGAAAGTTTGTGCACAAAATGTCATACCATTCAGTCACCAGATAACATTTTAATATTATATATTGAAAGTTAAAAATGAGTATTTCTGTCCATGAAAAAATCTGGTAGATGCCAGAAATCAGTGTCGGACTCTAATTTACTGCAACACAGCAGCTTGCAAAATGGCAGATAAAGGTCAGCTGAGTGTTGCACAGAAGGTGAAAGTTGCAAAGTTTTTTTGAAAAAATAAAGTGTTTAGTGTCGGAACAAAGATATCTTCATGCACACTTTTGTACAAAATAGATTGCTTGTAAATGGACCATTCACAGATTGTGTCAGCAAATGTAAACTACTGCTTCTGTATTCAAGAATAATTAGTGGCATTCATCACATGTCCACCTGAAAATAACAACAGGTCTTTCTTTACACATTCAACGGTTCATGCAAGATGAAGCTCATCCCCATAATTGCAAATGTTATACTCGATTTCTTGTGTGAGATGTTTAATGTGCATGCAATGTCACACTGGTTTGCTAAACTTTACGATGCTGAGAGATAGTGGTTCCTGCATAACAATCCAAGTGACTTTTTAATGGGATTTTTTTTCCAAAGAAAAAGTATGTGCAAGGATGTAGAGACAACTAGACATTTTATTTCTGAACAGGACACGAAAAATGCGAAGTGCCCTAGCCAGGATTCAAACTCTGCTCTGGACTTTCTGATTGCTAACTGGATATGCTCCCAATTACATCATAAACCACACGGTATGGAAGTAGAAAATACCTTACGTTGTCTTCCACTTAAAGGGCGACTGAGGAAGAAGGGGCTTAATCGCAAAATACTGGTGGTCACAAACTACCATCCACCACTTTTTTTAAAAAAAATTCAGGTGCTACTGTTGAGTCACCAGAATTTTGAAGCAGAAAACATGCAAAATGTATTATACCCTCGCAATGATTCCAATTACGGATTTTACTAGGCTAGCTGGATGAGCTTTCTAATTACACCAGAAAAGCATGTGTCAAGGAGGGAGATAAAAAACATCATAACAAAGCTTGCAAATGTAGCGAATCTCAAGGCTCTTATATAACAGATGGGTCGTGTAATTTCGGAACACGTGCGCCGGAAGTTTGTGACACATGTAAAAGTTTGCCAGCAAGAAGTTGTGAAATGAAATGTTGGAGACATTTTAAACTAAACTCAGTTTCTGTGCTCAGACATTTAACTATGCGTTTATTTTGTAATATTTCAATTGTAGGTTATTTCGAAGCAGGAGACATGAAAAGTGAGCAATGCTCTCGCCAGGACTCTCGAATACGCGCCGAGTGGGTTGGCCATTACACCATGAAAGCATGCTAAGATGGCGGGAGAAATACCTTATGTACTCTTCCTTTTAAAAGGCGACTGGGGATTGGGTGACCCAATCTCCAATCGCCTGATGGTGGAGAATCATCATCCACTACCATTTTCTTAGTTCGCGCGCCGCTGTAGACATTAAGATTTTTTTTTATGATGAAGATATGAAAAATGCGAAATGCCCTGGACGGGACTCGAACGTCGGACCTCTCGAATACGCGCCATTACACCACGAAGGCATACTAAGAAGGCGAGAGAAATATTTTATACGAAGATAAACAAATGTGTGATAAACAAAACAAAACGGTATGACAGTTCATGCAGCGCTGTGTAAATGAAACCCATATTACGATTTATTGACTGGACAATAAATTTTCCATTTACCTGCACCAGAACCTCTTCGCATACTTCGTTGCGAAATTTTAAAATTTTCTTTACTTCCATTTTTATCATCAGCCATCCGTGACTCGCTGTCATTTTTAGTCCTATCAATATTTAGGGCCTAACGAAGAGAATAAAAACTGTTAAAGGATTTCAAGCGAAATTATAAATTTCAGAACATATTCCAGTTCAGTATATATATATATATATATATATATATATATATAAAAAGCTTTATCCTATTAAGTGTATTAATCAGTTAAACTGTATGCTATGCATTAATAACATAATACTATTTACGACACAGAAAGATATAGAAAGTAGTAAACACATACAGGAATCGAACTTCTTTCCAGATCTTTTTTCTCCTCTCCAGCATTCTTTAACCTGCAAAATGGTCAAATTCAGTAAATTTAAGAGTTAAAGAAATGATAACTATGGAGGGAAAACTCTGAAAAATAACCAAAACATCACGGTGATACGGCTAAAAAATTAAAAAAAGACTATTCTCAAAACAGCATACAAGATAGAAGTAATTCAAATAGGAGATCAAAATTTTTTCCCATTTCGGCTTTGTACCATGCATTTCACAAGCGTGGTTAAGCGCAAACCACTAAAATAAATGTAAGTAATTTATAAACGAACAACAATACGTATGGGAATTAGGATCTCATTTTCTAGGTCTGCTTTTAGGCTAGTTAAAGCAAATTTTAAAGCATTAAAAAAAGAACCTATATAATAAGCAAAATGAACATGCATGAAGTGTTACGTACTAAATAAGATTAAGTCATAGCCTAAGACATGCCACATACACTGCTGGTCGTTAAAATTGCTACCCCATGAAGTTAACAGTTAACAGAATCATATTTATTTAAAATATACATTATAACGGAAGGATGAAATGAATAAAATATTAGTTTATGTTCAGATAGCGAACATGCAGAAATCCATACCGCACGCACCCGTCTCTGGCAACAATAGCAACACTTATACAGCAAGGCAGTTACGGAGTATTGCGGTCTATGTGTCTTCAGTTCTATGCCAGATTTCATCTGTGGCATTGGCTGACGGGCACTCTCTCTGCAACCACTGATGTTTTCATGTGGCAAGAAATCTGGAGAACGCACTAATCAAAAAAGGTGTCATACACCCAGTGCATTAAGGAAACATAGAACAGCAAAGGCAACATGTCCTAGTGAAAAGTAGGGAGATAGAGGCCTTGAAAATAACGGTACAACCATGAGAGTTACAATCTCAATAATGGGCATGGGTGATCGAATGTATATCCAATGTATACCCTACACCATCAATCCAGGTGCTATGCTGGTTTGAAGATCAAGAAAGCAAGCTTCTAATGTTTGTTTTCCTCAGTGCTTCTACAAATAAGTTAGTTATCATGCTGCTGTAAGCAAATTCAGGATTCGCAAGAAAGGACATCTCTGTGCATCACTGAAACTATTATTTCAGATGCATTTTTGTACGAAGCGTCAAGGAAAGCGAAATAATTGTCGCCTTGCTGACAATCCGAGGCATTGCAGATGTTTGACAACTTGAAAGCATCCACTTTTTTCTAACCCAGGGTATGTGATGTAGCACTATGATGCGAACAAGATGTCTGCAACCTCAGACACTGGTGAGTGGGAGATGTTGAGATTCCGAACATTGTTATGGTGACCCTCTTAAAATCATAGACAGCAAATTCTTATAAAACTCATTGGATCTCAACAACACAGGAGACGAGCAATAGTGAGGTACGAAAATCCGCAGTTCTAGTACGCTCTGATTCTTCCTTGATCGAATCTTGAGATGTACTGGTATAAGTTCCTTCTTACGAGACGAAGAACACGACCTCCCAACACAAAAACCAACGAGTAAACGAGGCTTCCGAGCAAAAAATTCAGCATTTCAATCCGACTTTTTGTATTCCTTCGAGGTGTTATTGCTCGTTTGTAATGTGCGCATACTTATGAAATGCTAATCATTTGCATATTTTGGAAATTTCTACCTTACATTGTGGTTTGTTGAGCGCTTTTCTTCATGGTGTAGCAGTTTCAATGGCCAGCAGTGTACTTATATAGTCAGAAAATTCATGCGAAGTAAGCTTGAAATTCACAACAGTTATACTTGCTAATATGTACTGTTGGATCATACTGCCTGATGTTCATAATGTTTCGTAATAAATATATTTCATATAGCTTATAAACACGCCATAATTACTAGGAAAAAATTTTTCTCTTTAATTCAAAGAAAGAGAAAATTAAAACACTGTATTAATGGAAGATAATCAGATAGTAATGCATGAATGTTTGTTTTACTTCTCTTTCCAGCAATATAAAATTCGAAACGCCAAACACATTACACATATTGAAAAGCTAATGTTAATAGTTATCGCAGAGTTTTATAGGCAAGAGCAGAAATACAAACTTTATGGTAAATTTTTAACGAAAATTTATAAAAACCTTTTAATTATATTCGCTACTAAATTCAAAGAAAAAAAAAAAATCCCTTATTTCATGGAAAATAAAGAACATCATATTTGGCGGCGAAACCTGAAGCAGTCTTGAGTTCCAGGATTCTCTAAAATGATCCACCTCAGCAGAAATTAATCAGATGAAAGAAAATGACTTACTACAAGTTAGAAGAGATCCATAGTTAACTAATGCAAAAACTGAGTTTGATCATGAAAGTTATCTTAAATTTGATCTCTCCTCCGGGAAGGGAAAGGAAAATTTTAATACAAAGAAAAGGAAATGTATTTCAAAAGAATGATAGAAAGCCTTGAACCGATGATTAAGATCTTCTACGTGTTTTACCATGATCTACCAATATATGGTAAAACACTTATTTAATCCGCAGTTTGTATACAGAGTAGTGGAAAAAAAGTTCTTATTAAGCAAAAAATATAAACTGAGAGGTGGCGTTAGCCATTATGCTGCAGAAAGTAATTATGATAAAAGCTGCATCAGAGTCATATTTTAGTTTGAAAACAAATTTTGTTCTTACCAAGAAGTAGTAAGTTTCATTAAGAATATTTACTGAATTTTATTACAAATAATTTAGCAATCATAAATTTGTTTGTATTTATTAGTGAAACAAGTAAGTGAATGCTGAATGAAAATATCTATTAATCTTTAAATACTTTTCTTTTCATCCTTAAAGAGCACGTAGTAACAAATTAAAAATTGCTTGCTAATTTAGCAAAAGATTTTCGCAGAATCACGAAATTTACACAAAACATTTTCGCAACTTAGTTTAATTACATTTACAAATGAGTTATATAAATATAGAAAACTTATGTCTGTATGGAACAAAAATTGATCTACTTTAAAAAATCTATTATGAAAACTAAATTAAAACATCACTACCTCTATAATACTCAAATAAAAGCGATATTCTGGAATGCTAACAAATGTCTAACAGAAACAAAAGCACTGTTCTGGGAAACATTTCACAGCCAACTATAATAACAGCATTATATAGCTTAGGAGTTTACAGCTAAGCAATACTTTCTGGCAGGTAATGAAGCTACTCATCAATAGTATGGTAAAGCACCCAACAGCTTTCTTCTTCAGAAGAGGTACACTTTTTATTCCCGTTACACATGAGGAAAACTACTAAAATACTCATGCAGATAGCCCGTTTGGCCAGGACTGGAACTTAAGTCGAACTATCAGTTTTCAGCGGACTCATCCATTTGGTTAGTAGTGGACTGACAAAAGGGGGAGGGAATCCGCTCTTTTTTCTTTTAATCAAATTCACTAGTTTACAAGTAGGTAACGGCAGTGGTTGAACACCGAGGTCGTGTTAATGTTATTTGATTACGGTAAACCATGAGAAAGCTATCTAAGGGAAGGGATGCTTTCGTGAAGGACTTTCTAAGAGAAACGGGCTCGTATCCATGTAATACATACGGAGAACGACGAATACGCCCATGCAACCAGCCGTTCGCTTGGAATCGAAGCTAGGTCAAATCACCAAGTGTTCGGCTACTTTGCCGCTCGGCCGCTGGTGGGCCTGACTAAGGCAGTAAGAGCTCTGAATTTATTTTTCAATAGGATTTTGTGTCATTACATTATTTTTTTATTACTGACTCTTTAATTAAGCTAAATACTAAGTCTGGCGTTTTCTAGAAACTTTCATATAGCAATTGTGTTTAGCTATAAAACCACAAATAATGATTGTGAATATCCAACGGTGAACAAAAAATGAAATATGGAAAACATTCAAAACTACGTGAATTGGTCTAATTCAGCCGGCTTGTTTATTTAATCGGTGATGACATAAGACACGGGAGCTATTTGCTTAAAGGAAGGATGCTTATATAAAATAATTTCTTATGAAAATAAGCTCATATTCAGCTTACAACCGGGAAAACCATCCATAAAAAATTTTAGACGAGAGTTAATGGATAGACCTGTAAAACCTTAGTAAAGGAGTTTCTCATCTTCCGAAAGGAATAACAAGCAACAGTAATTCTTATAAATTAAAATTTGTGTAAAATTTTTTCTAATACATGACATAAACACAAATTTCATGAAGAAATTATGAACTGACTAATAATTTCTACTAAAATCGTTGATTATGAAGCACAGACATTTAACTGCTATTTTTAGCATAAAATCTAAGAATTCGCATACGCTTATTTGTAGTTTTTGGACACAATTTTCAGCCTAGATTATGTTTCTTATACAATAAAATATTCTCGTTAGTCTTCATCATGTTGATGAAGGGGAGAAAACCTATCACTTTTCTTTGGTAACGTATTAGTTACAAGAATGACAGTTAAAAGGCTTTGTATTCAAGTTTCATTGGAATATAAATCTCTTGTAATTTATATTCAGAAAATGAAGAGACAGAGTTAAGACGCTTTTTCGTTTTCCCCCCAAAACGAAATTTTAGATTTATCTCTTTAGCAAATTTGTCATTTTTACTGGAAATCAAGGAAAACACTTTTCTAGACAATCCAAAATATAGAAACTATCGTTGAACAACTAGAACAACCTTCTACTATTTACGGTACAAATCTGCTAATCATATGACTTCTTCTTTAAAACTGGAACATTTCAAATAAGAGTAAATATCAGCGATTTTGTCCTAGAAAGTTCTCCAAGAAGTCACCTTTTTTCTTCGGCAGACAGTCCTCCTGTGCTTTGCCCTAACCAATTATCATTTCAGTAGCACTGAAAATATCTAATAGGTCCTGGAAAGTATTTCTGAACGTTAATCCGTCTCTCATGACTATAGTAACAATAACAAGTGGGAGGGCAGGAAAACTGAAAAAAGGAAATCTTAATTTCGTACCACTCCATTTCCGTTATTTATGATGATGTGAGAACGATTTAGACGCCTTACTTGAAGAACTTATTACAATCAATTATCCAGTTATA